GCTGGTGGATAGTGGTGTGGTGTACATGGCTGATAACCGTGCATGCCAGATCCTTGGGATAGGAAGAATTCGCATAAAGATGTTTGACGGGACTGTTAGAGAGTTAAACAATGTGAGATATGTTCCTTCTTTGAGGAAGAACTTAATCTCGATTGGAGCTTTGGTTGGAGAGGGTCTGAAGGTTCGTGTTGAGGACATGGTTCTCGAGATTGCGAGAGACTCTCGTATTTTGATGAAGGGCGTCAGGAGAAATAACCTGTATTACTTGACTGGAGGAATAGTGGCAGGTGGAGAGCTGACGACTTCTGTTGATTCGACTAGACTGCGGCATTTGGGGCTTGGCCATTCCAGTATTGATTCCTCGCATAGATTGAAAGAGGGTGCAAAGACCTGCAGTTTGAAGTCCAGTGAACATGTTGATGTGAGCAAGAAGACCGATGTGAAGTGTGGCACCTCTATTCACCGTGCTAAGGGTCGTTCTGGAGGAGTTCACGTGGATGTTTGGGGGCCTTCCAAGGGGGCATCATTGGTAGGTAATAGGCGTTTGGTTTTCTTTGTTGGTGGCTGTTCTAGGCGTGTTTGGGTTGTAACCAAATCCCCTTTGGAGAAAGTCCTAGTAGTCTCTAACAGATTGAAGAAGTGTGATATTGGCAGAAAGGTGAAGGTACTCCATTCTGGTCGGAGGTACAAGATGGACCTGTTTCTGCATTGGAGCCGAGCTCACGGCATTGCGAGACACTTCGTTGGAAAGAAAATCTTAGGGCAAATAGATAAGGTGACAAATTTGGAGAACCGTGCCTTTCTGGAGGAGGATCGGTGTTTGGGGTCGAGCAATGGTTTGCAGAAGAGTTTCTGGACAGAGGCTTCGACATATTTGGGTCATCCTATTAAAGAGTTGTCAACTGCTGTGATTGGAGGTAAAACTCCATTGGAAGATAGGTCTGGTAGTATCACTTTGGTTGAGGTTTCGATGAGGAAGCCAATTGACTCTCAGCAGGTGGAGAGTTTTGGACAGACCTTAGAGGTATCACAGCGGGTGGAGAATAACTTGAATTAATTAACTAGTTTCATGTAAACTAGAAATTAGAAGCAAGAACAAGGTCCTCCATGAGTTAGATGTACATGTTAAGATTCAATTAGATGGAACCATAGCTCTGATACCATGAAGGAAATCGTGCTATGTCTACATGCATAATACACAGCGGAAGACATGTATGTACAAAAATACTAAGCATGTAGAGAGCATGAAATATTCATATGGATCGTCTAATTAAATCTAACATGATCCTTATTATTAAGTGAGCATACAAGAGTTAGAAAGTCATACTTTCGTAGCGTGATTCGATGGAAGATCGAATAACCCCTAGCTCTTGCTCCTTGTAGTAGAAAATCTCCTTGTAGTGGATCTCCAAGTCTTCAAGTGAGCTTGATAAAATGGGAGTCTTCTTAAGACACAAGGCAAGATATCCACCCCGGGGTTCTTAAAATCCTACTACTTCCTCTTGCTCAAAGATTGCTAAAGATTAGTAAGAGGAGAGCTCTCTTTTATTCTCTTATGGAAAAACCACTTAGCCAATTTTTCATTAACCTTTCCATAAGAAAGAGAGCTCATATTTATAGAGTGAAATGTGTTCATGATATGAATGACTCATCCTATGAGTCATGCAATGAATCATCAAAAATTAATGATTAATCAAGTGAGTCATGCAATGAATCATCTTATGAATCATTACATTTCAAAACCATGTGCTAATAAACCATGTGCTCAAACCATACCACTAAATGACTCATCTCATGACTCATTATACATGGTATGTGTATTTCATAAATGAGAATACCAAATCAATATTGTATTTCATAAATACGATATTTTGTAATTTTCCAATCATTGATTAATAAGTCATCATATGACCAAAAAGTCAATGAGTTGACCAAAAGTCAACTGTTGACCAAAAAGTCAACTAGTTGACTAAAAGTTAACTTTATAGGAAAAATACTAGAATTTATTTCCTAAGCACATAGCATTCCGATTTTATCGATATACATAACTGTTTATGTGTATCCGATAAAATCATATATGCGTATCAATCATACGCATCACTCTATAAATTGTGTTTCATAGGATTCAAGTACGCGCTTGGTGTGACTCTAGGGCCCAACTTAAGAACTCGGCAGTGGATCATATCCACAAGTACAACAGAGGTGCTAGCTACACATGAAGACTACCCGGGTATAAGTTGTGATAAATGTCTGCAAGATGCTAACACAATTATATCAGGACCACTCAGTGATAATGCCGTACAGTCCGGTCTCTTCGTCAAACCATGTCAAACTATTAAGCCTAGGGTATGGAAAACTGTCAAACCCTAATTGCTCAATTAGTGTTTGTTGATATTAAACTCATAACCTATAAGATCAAACTGACAATCAGTTTATCTTATTTACCTTGGCCAAGGATTTTCAGGTTATAGTTATATCAAACAATCTTATGACATCAACCCCCTATACTGGGAGAGACGAATCCCATCTTGGCATCTCCCTATACTGGGAGAGACGAATCCCTTCTTGGCATCTCAATATCTACTTATGTCTCGGGATGTACCCAACAAGAACCGTTATGCACAATTCAATAAGAACTGTGGTTAGGTAAAAGTCTAAATACATCTTTACTGACATATAAGATATTGCACTCATGCCTCAGGTCATGAGACTACTATGTACTATATCACTTGAGAACTTCTATTTGACAGTTAAGTATAATTACCAACTAGATGTTCTCAGTGAGTCGTTCAGTCAACTCATTCACTAATGAGTCACCTGTATACTATATCTTGATGTCTCACATCAATGATCTAAGAGATGGATCATCATCCTTCCAAAGGAGAAATAAAGTATACACTAGTCTTACCAAAGTGATCATGTCCCATTACATCACTTCATCGACTAGGAACATTTTAGAATATACGTTAGCGACAAATCAGATCTCTTCATTACGATCATATCCGTAATGTCTGATAGTCTAGTATCATTCTAAGGACTTTATCTGAATATAAAACTACCAGATAAATCTGACCAAAATAGCATACTATTATTTTGAACAAGGATATTATATTCATATAGGTCCTGTTACAATATACAATTATTGCCTGCAGGGCACCTATATCTAACAGTCTTTACGATGCAGCCGGGTTGGATTTTGATGGGGGTGAGATCGATTTGGTGAGTAGACATCGACATTTGGGAGAGTGTTTGCATTCTCATTTGGGTTCTCGACTTGTTATGGATTGAGTCTGTTGTCGTGAATTGTTTCACGGTGTACTGGACACAACAAGTGAGACATTTGGTTTGGTTGGTGTCGGCTCAGTTTTGAGAAAACTTCACCGAGGTGGAGAATTGTGAATGAAAGGGACGTGAGGCTTGTGGGCCAGCAACAAGACGCGTGAGAAGCTTTGGTTGGCGTGTGCGAAGCTTGGATGTGGGGACCACGTTATCAAACCGCGTGAAGAAATGCAGCTAAGTTTGAAAGGCCCACCCGATAGTTTTTTTTTGCTGCAACTATATAAATCTCTTTGTAGTCTAGGGTTTAGGGTTGGGCAGAGGGCTTGGTGAAAAGTGCGAAAGCTGGGGGGAAAACGGCGTGCAAACCGAGGAGCAGAAGGAGGTTTGGGCGGCTGTGCTAGGACGGCGGCTGTGAGTCTCTTTTCGACAGAGAAGAAAAACAACTGAGTAGAGGAAGAAAGAGATTAGATTGAGGGTTTAATTGTGAGAGTTGTAAACCTATTTGTATTCTTTTTCTTTCTAATAGTAGATCTCCCCCTCCTTGCCTCGTGGACGTAGGCAGCTTACCGAACCACGTAAAATTGATTGTTTGAGTTTGTGGCTATTGTAATAGTTTTTAGGATCCCTCGACAGTTCAGTCCTAGAACTGATGAGAGGAAGAGCCGATATCTCACTTTGTTGAGATATCCGCTTCAGATTCTTGTCTCCTTGGTGAGACGGGAATTCTTATCGATCTTTCTCTCTTATTGTGCACCAGAAACTCTGCCGAAATTTCCGCTGCGCACAACAAAAATAAGTTCACTTTAAACTCATGGGAGGATAAACTTACAATCATAAAAGAAATAATAAGGGAAAAAAGCCAACAGTCCCACGTAATCTTAGAAAAATATTTATAGAGCTAAGCTTATTGTTAGTAAAATTAAAAAAAGACAAAAATTTTGAGGTGCAAAACACTTTTCTTCAAAAAATATTTGCCCCACTTGATATTCAAATTTGCTTCGAGTTAATGCAAATTTTATTTTTAGGATATAACAAAAAAATTAAAAATTCCAACAAGCAAATCTAGAATTTTCACCAACTCTTTGTGAAACAAGTTTGTAGTATTGCAAATCTTTTTGAGAGAAGTTTTGAGAATGAAGTGAAGTGAAGATATCTGAAATCATAAATTATTTATAGGTTTGAAAAGGTGCTTTCAGCAGTCATAATTTTTCAAAACACCTATTGAAAAGAAACAGACACTTTTCAACAATCACTTGCTATTCATATTTTGATAAATTCGAAAATTCAAAATAACAGTAAAAAATAATGTACTCAAAATATATATATATATACTAAAAAGTCACTTATCACTTGTCAAAATCACGCATTATTCGCGCTACCTGCACACGGGTTTAGAAGCCTATACTTTGATCCATTTATCAAATCTCATTGATCATTAAATGCTTTCAAACCTCTTAAAGATTGCTCAAATATGTAATGTGGGCTATCTTGTTTTTACAAACAAATACTAACACTTATACCTCAAAACTTCCTATTTTCATCCAATAGATTCAAGCAGTGCAAGGAGCAGTTTCAAGCAATGAGCACAGCAATATCACAGAAAAAATATCTTTGAGAGTTAAGTAAGATTCAAATCAATCAAAAAAATTTGTTATGTACATGATAGATTGACAAGAGATGCATATGCTATAGTATATAAACAAAATCATACAAAACATTAATTCCCTGCGTAATTAAATCAACTTAAACTTTAGTTGAAAAATTCACAGAAAAGATCTTGAGGATTACATAAGATTCAAATCAATCACAAAATTTCTTATGTACATGCTACTTACAAGAGATAAGCATGCTGTATCATATGAACAATATCTTTAAAACATCAATTCTCTGTGTAATTATATCAACTCAAACTTTATTCTAAAGATGATAACCAGTCTAATAAAGCTTTGTTGGCGAGCTCAGGAACCTCATCATGAGGACAATGCCCTGCTTGCAAATTCACAACAGAAGTCTTCGGATAGAACTCTTTGATACGTGCAGCTTTGCCCGGGCCAACCCAAGGGTCTAAATCACCCCATAGTAATAATAAAGGGCATGAGAGCTTGCTCAGGAGGCTATCAAGTGTGTATTTGGTTTGGTTTGTCATAAATCTACTCATCAGTCTGCACAAAACAAAGGGGCAAGAAGGTCTACATGGAATCATCCTCTTCTAACTTCCGATTTTTTTAACAGAAATCATAAGCAACTCAGCCAGACTTGCAGAATTTTTGTTTGTGTTTTGATAAGTAAATGTAACTTTATGATGTTTTATTGCATTTCTCAGTAGAAAGCTATGCCCATGTTACCATTTTTTGTAGGGTTAATTGCAGACGGACCCCTTGTAGTTCTATTGTTGCAAATATAGACCCCTGAGTGGATTCTTGACTCTTTTTACCCTCAAATAAAGAGAAAATGGTTTTTTTGACAAATAGGCCTCCTGAGCATAAAATAGTCAAAAAAATTCACAGAGTCCATCCTCAATTTGGCAATAGTAGAGGGGATCTCTTCGCAACGATAGAACTACAGGGGTCTACTCGCAATTAGGCAATAGTACAGGCGGTCTTATCTGCAATTAGCCCTTTTTTTAATAGGCTCTTTCACCCTTATAGTAATTATAGGGGTTAAGGCCCTAATTTCCTGAGCGGAAAAAAGGTTGAATATAGGAACTTACCGGTAATAGACTTCTCCAGCGTTGGGGTCAGTTGCAGGTTTCATAATTGATTCTACAAGATATTCATCTACATTGGAGGGATTTATGTATACCTGGAGCATAGAATATGATACTTGTCAGAAAAGAAAAGGAGGGGGGAAAAGCAGATTCTATGGTAAGTGAAGTGCATTCCTTAATTCTCATATGGAGAAGCTCTGCTTCCCTCTTTGTCATATTTGTATTTGACTCATGAAATGGAGTAAAACTATCAATGCACTAAGCTCTTTTGAAGTCTCAAAACCAAATTCACATTGTAAAGAAGTATTCGGGTAAAGTTTTCTTTTTTTCGGTATTGAATCGAAAGGGAGAAAGATTATGCATGACCTTAGGATAAGCAAGATTAATTTCAGTTAGTAGATATGATAGTTAATTTGAGTCAAAGATATATTTATTCAGGGACTACAGCACCTTTGGTTTATTCAAGCAAGTGATATTAATTTGAGTCAAAGATATATTTATTCAGGGACTACAGCACCTTTGGTTCATTCAAGCAAGTGATATCCAAACTGTGTTTCCATACTTATTATACTTTATAAAGTACTAGAAGAAATCCCGAGCTTTGTAAATTAAAGAAAAGTCTCATGAGCGTTCCAAATTTTAAAATTTCCTAAAGTAATGAAAATTCTTGTAAACAGTGTTAATGGGTAGAGTGAAAAATCTAACCTACCCATTTCACTTTTCACCTGTCCTTGCTCGAAAAGGGTAATATAGAAGTTATATTTAGTAGATAGGGGTAATGACAATTTAAAGTAATTGTTGTGAGTCACCGTACTTAGGCGTGACTAGTTCAGGGTCTTTCTTTAGTTTATAAAGTTCAGGAGGGTTTGTGCAAAATTCCCACAGTTTAGCGCTTCTTATGAAATTTACCCTTGATTTCAATGTGTAAATTAACTTTGTTAAAGAAACTTTCGACTCCAATAAATTTTGCACGTCATTTGGCCTTAAAGGAATACGCTCATTAGGGGCTGTTTGGTAGGCTGCAACTGGAGTGGTTGCAACTCCAGTTGCATGCAACTAGGTCCAATTTGACCAGTTGCATGTGTTTGTTTTGCTGCAACTCACAGTTGCAATTGCAACCACAGTTGTAAAACAACCCTTAGTTGCAACATATAACTTACGTCAAAAATGGCCGCAAGTCATAGTTGCAACTTAGTTGCAACTGACCTAAATTTATTAAAATCAAAATCATTACTTAATATTTCAAAAATAAATTCATTAAAGGTTTAAAATAATCTTTTAAATAATTCTTATTATAATAATTTCTTCAAAAACTTTTTTTAAAAAAAACAACATTAATCTTTTAAAATAATTATTATTATAATAATTTCTTCAAAATAATATGTTAGTTTTTAAAGTAATATATTATCTTTAAAATAATATATTATTTTTTAAAATAATATATTTTAAAAAATAATATATTTTTAAAATAATATATTTTTTGAATAATATATTTTTTCTAAAATAATATATTTTTTGAAAAATAAAATTTTCCAGGAATACTATTATTTTTCTAAAATAATATATTTTTTGAATAATATATTTTTTATTAATATATATAAATTATTTTTTAAAAATAAATTATTTTTTAAAAATAAATTATTTTTTTAAAATATATTATTATTTTTAAATATATTATTTTTTTTAAATATATTATTTTTTTAAAATATATTACTTTTTAAAAAATATTATTTTTTAAAAATATTTTATGAGTTGCATATGTTAAGTTATAAGCATAATCAAACAGCTGCAACTATAAGTTGTAAAATTTAAATTTTAAACCAAACAATTGCAATTGTAGTTGCATGTAAGAAGAGTTGCAACGTCTCAGTTGCATGCAAGTGACACTTGCATTGCAACTCCAGTTGCAAACAACCAAACGCCACCTTAGTGAAAGAGTATCATACACTGTTTAACACTGATTTGATGCGTGCAGGTTGCTTTGCTTGCCAGAAAAGAAATCCAAGAACAATTCTTTGGAACACTTCCTTCAGCGGGTTGATTATGAGCTTCTTTATAACCGATTCTTCATCTTTGGCCTTAATCTGTGCGTTTGGATTTGAAAATTGTCCTGCAGAGTTTAATAGCGCAACTCCAAGAACTTGCTGAGGCAGTGCTGCTGCTGTTAACAAAGCTGTGAAGCCTCCAAGGCTGAAGAGCAAGTGTGAATTGGATTAGCCAAAAATAACGGACTTATAAGGAAAGTTGGGACCGATTCCTAATAGCTGAAGTTTTTGGATTAATTGTTTTTTTTCAACCTTTGTTTGAGGTGCATATAATTTCTCATGAAACCTGATTTCTCCACAATTTAACGACAGTATTAGAGCTGAAGGGCCTATGGTTATTGTGGATGATTAACATTTACTAACAAACACATGGGAAGATTGTTGGACATTCATGTGTCCATATATTAGCATATCAAAAAAAAATAAAAAAGGGTAATAGATTAAGGGGTTAATTGTGCATAGACCCCTGTACTGCTGCCCAATTGCAGAAGACCTCCTGTAGTTCAATTGTTGCAATTTGCCCCTTATACTGTCACCTAGTTGTGGATACACCCATGAGTGAATTTTTTTTATTCTTTTACCCACTGGAGTCTACTTGTCAAAAAAGAATTCCCTATCTCTGAGGGTAAAAAGAGTCAAAAAATCGCTTAGGGGTCTACCTACAACAATAGAACTATAGAGGGTCTGTCCACAATTGAGCGAAAGTACAGGGATCTATATGCAAATAACACTTTCTTAGATGGAAATAATACCTAATAAATTATGTTTTTGGGGTAATTTAATTCTCAACCTATGTGTAAGGCTCGCTTAATGTCTCCAAATATAGTTAAAACAGTATGAACAAAAAATTACTATTAGTCAGACGTATTCACCTGTTTCCAACTAAGATTGCTGGTTCTTTAACAACTTCTTTCATGAAATCAGATACTTGGTCCTTCCACACAGTGGCATCATATTCAACAAGGGCTTTCTCGCTCCAACCAAATCCAAGCAAGTCTATAGCATATACCTTGTACTTTTTTGCCAACTCAGGAATGTTGTACCTGCAAATAATACCATGAAAATATTTTAGAAGGCATCAGTTGAGATAATCAATACCATTGAGCAGTCTATACATAAAAGGGTAAACTGCTGATAAACCACGCTCATCTACATCTTCAGCAACACTTACCATCCTTGGTTTGGCATTTTGAGAAGACTATATCGTAGATAATGTGTCTCCCTATGAATTGATGGGTGATAAGGTTGATAAGTGTTACTGAAGGCATAGATTAGGGAGGTTATCTTCTATGCACCCTACTTGAAATAGAAAATTTATAGGATCAATAAGGGCATGCAAAAAGAAAAAGGTTTACTAAAGCTATGATAAATGATTCGGAAAAGCTCATATGGATGTTAGACAGTGTGCAAGAATAATAGACAATCCAATAATGACCTGGAAAAACATGACACAAAATACCGAAAAACATTGCAAATTACAAAGTAGAAGCCGGAAAATGTGGACTCATGTTCTTAATCATATAATATTCCTCAGTGTTCATAGGATATAGATATTTGTTTGATGGCTATGAAAGAGTGATAACCTGGGGACCTTGCTGGTGTTGATGTTCAAGAAGAATATCAAAAGCATCATCAGTTAAGAAGCATAGCTCTTAAATTCGATGTTACATTTATTCTGCACAATTAATGATTAATACCAACTAAATTACTAAGATCAATTACAAGAAGCCAGGGCATGATAAATCTCGAAATTTCAGTGGGAGTTCAAATTCTAGTTATCGTCCTCACAACCAGTTGTCGAAGTTCAATTACTGAACAAAATATGATAAAAACAGTACTAAAAGAACTCAAGAAGCTAATAGGGTAACATTAATTCCACGATAAAAGTCCACTTCAAATGTTATGCAACCTTTTCGCTGCCTGTTATAGTACTCTATTAGCAATCAACAATGAACATTAACAAGGATTATTGAAACAATACAAAACATATTAGACATGTCAACAGTGTTTTTATCCAAATAATGATGTGAAGTATTTTGAAATTAAATTGGATGGTAGAAGGACACATCATATATGACATAAAACAATATCTCATTCTCTAACCATCAATTAGTATATGGATTATCTAACTTAAATACATGCTTTTGCATCCGTAAATGTAATATCCATAAAATGAAAAAAGTTTGAAAGATATGCTAACCTCCAATGAAATGCTGAAGCACCAAATCCGTGAATAAGAACAACTGGAAGCCCATTTCCTTCTTCAACATAATGTATTTTGTGACCTTTCCAGGTCCAAAATTTATAACCCTCTGGCTTAAATGCTAACCTTTCCATTCCTACAAATGTACCAAATAACTTACAGAGCCAAATTCTCAAAGTTCAAAAATAAAGTTAGCATTGCTAATTTGTATGCTCACGTAATATACTAGTATGTGCATATACACTAGCATATCATGTAATGTACACAGGTTTATTACTTCGTTATGTAGATTGTTTCACAATAATTCAATATTGTATATAGATCACTATTTAAGAGGTTTGTTTTTAGTGAAAATTTTTGTTTATCCAGATATTGGTTCCTTAAATCTTTCATATTTTAAATTACCCATTCAAATCATTGAAATTTTTATTTAGTCCCCAATTCATACAAGTTATTTACAACTAGTCATTGCGATAAAGCTGCCTTTTGGATTGGGAGAATATACCATCAAACTTAGCTTTTAACATGTTCTTCAAGCTATACTAAGTTAACATCCAAATCCATTCCCAATTCTAAAACCAAACCTGTTAAAAATCCACATCCAATTGCTTTCTTATTCTCAAAATGGTTATCTTCGTCCTCTAACCTATTTTGCCAACAACTCTTTTCCTCTTAATCCTATAAATATGGAGGAATGAAATAAGTGAGTGTAAGATCATATGGTGTTTAGGGAGCTTATTTTTTGGCAAAGTAGTTTTTAAGCTAGTTTTTCCATACCTATCTGTTTGGCAAAATCCCACATAAGTTAGCTTATAGTCCATATTTTAAAAAGTTGGTATACTAGCTTTTTAAGAATAGCTTATAAGCTGACCTAAATAAGGTAGGTTTTACCAAAAAAATTACTATTTTACCCATATAATTTTTATCATAAAATCCAAACGTGAAAGAAAGCTAACCTAACTTATAGCTTCTATCAATAAGTCCCTCAAACACCCTCTTAATTGGTCATCCATGTTATATTAGGTGCTAAACTAACTAGAGTTACTTAATTGGTCTGAAAAAATTAATAGAATGGCCAGTTTGGAATTGCTGGAGCTTATGATAAGTTGCTTATATAAGCAGCTTATACAAGCAACTTATGTAAGCTGTTGAAAATAGTTGTTTGATAATCATATGCCATAAATTACTTCCAAAAGCAATAAGGGTTTTGGTAAAAATGTGCATAAAGATCACTACATGTGAAAATGACAAAAATAGACATAATATTAGCTATCAAAATGGACAATATATTTATAAGATAGCTGAGGCAATAATGTCAAAAGCTAAAGGGTATAACTTTTAAAGCTCTCAGATTGCTTCTAAAAGCACCCGCTTAAAAAAGCAACAGTTTCAACAAACATGCAAAATATGTTTTTTTTACCAAACATTGTTATTCACTGCTTTTTTATAAAAATTAAGCAGAAGCACCCTAACAAAAAGCAATACCAAACTGGCCCTAATTTGGAGTAACTCGTGTCAATTGGGAGACAAAATAGTAAAGGCAATGATTTGGTGAGGGATACTAATTTAAAACCATGAAAGATAGGGACGGATATCTAAAACCGAATAGTTTTAACTCCTTTTTTCACTTGTTCAACTTATCACAAATTCCCAAGAATTTGAAAAAAGAGGGAGAAAATTAGATATCATTGTTTACAAAAGCAATTTAAGTGCGCAAATACCATAAAAGGAGATTGAGTACCTCGAACTGGATCTGCAGTCACCAAAGAAGAAAACACCGCGAAAGCTACCCCTTTTGACACCAAACCCCTCCTCAAAATCCCACCTTTGCTTCCTTTCAACAAAAAAAATCGCATTTTTAACTAAACGAATTGAGAAAAAAGAGAAATTGTTAAGTAAACTCACCATGGGAGGAAATCTTGTTGGTGAAGAAGCGCCTACTGTTGGAATCAGAGAGCGTTGGTTTAATTGAAGGCAGAGGGGGAGCAAAGGAACGAGACATTGAAGATGTTTTTTTTTTTTATAAGAAGACGAAACCCTGACCCTAAATGGGATCAGATTTCATGAGAAGAGAAGAAGAGAACTGAGCTCTGTGTGGCTACTGCCATTTTGGCGCTGTGGATCATTTTTAGCCAATTGAGAGAGGAAAAGGGGGGATGTGGATTTTGAGATCCTTGGATGGTCTCAATGAAATACCAAAGTTAGATGCTAGTCCCTGAAAGCTTCATAATTTCATGGCTCACTGCACTTAAATGCCATATAATTTCACCAACCTTGCACTTTAATACCCTTTACCTTAAAATGGTGCATTTCAAGTGTTACAGATAAATGTCTCGAAGCTTCAAAATGTTGCACGTTGGTGCATTCTTGTTTACCCAACGTTGCACGTCGGTGCCCTATTGGTTATCTAATGTTGCGTACACCATTAGGTGTAAATGGCATCACTTAAATACCCTCAGTTATGTGATATTCTTGGATACATAGAGAAAAGCCAGTATCGTTTGAGTTCTTTTTAACTATCCAACATTCATTTACAACACTTAAAATACTTTGGGGCAATTTTTTTTCCTGCTCGGCTTAAAATAAGAATGACTTAAGTGTAAGATTACTAAAACTTTAAGGTATCTAAGCGTAAGTTAGCCAAATTTTATGTTAGTCCCTCAAATCTTCAGTAAATTCCTTTAACATTGCTAAAGTTCATCAAATGATCAAAATATCTCTCAATTTATGTTTTCCTCCAAAACCCAACGTTTAGAAAACCATTACTTGATAGGGATTTCAGTGATTGAGGGACCACATTACAAGACTCTTAAGATTTGAAGGGCTTCGGAGCAATTTTAAAGTAATGAGGAAACATATATAGAATTATTGAACATTTGAGGGACTAATACTAAATAATCCATTATATAAATAATTTTGACAAATGTTCACTTCACATATATTGACAATTGACAAGTATGATATAAATTATATAATCTATTCCTTTATACAAAAGGGAGAACCAGAGAGTTACTGTTCATGATACAGGAAATGTTACTGTAGCAGATAATTAATTAAAAATATTACTGTAGCACACGGGTATACTGCAGCATTTAAAAGGTACTGTAGCAGAGCGGGATACTGTAGCATCCCCAGAAAATTCAAAACAGGAGATGTTAAAAAGGCGGGATTACTGTAGCAAAAAAAAAAAAACCCGCTTTGCACGGACAGCAGACTAGTTATATAAACACTAGCATATTTTCACATTTATGCCAACTTTGTAAACCCTATACCCTATATCTCACTCCTCCAGTTGAGATCGTGGATACAATATCGCGTTTATATCAATTTTTTGCATTAGATTACATGAATCATATTTTTGCATTTATTTTTATTGTGAGCCAATCTTCTCTTGTTTGCTTAAATATTAATGTATCATCCTACCTTTCTTAGTTGCTTTTCAACGACAACTTTTTATACATTTATCTTTAGTATTGTTTGCCTATTTAACTTTAATTTTATTACTTTCCTATTGGTATACATATTGTCATTTATAACTAACTTCTCTCTCATTTTATTCATTTTATTCTTAATATGAGTGACCTTTAAACGTTATATATATGTTTTTAATCACTGAAGTTGTTTGGACACAGCTGACATCATGTGCTAAGCTTTATGGCCTGTTTGGATGGAGGGTAGAGAGGGGAAGGGAAGAGAAATTTTATTTTAATCTTGTTTGGGAGTTTCATTTAGGAGAGTAGAGGAGAGAAATTGAGGGAAAATTTGGCCCAAATTTTTACACCCCAAATTGGGGTGTAATGGAGGGGAAGGGAAGAAATAAGAATTTTTTCCCTTCATTCTCCTTCCTTCCCTTTCCTAAGTAAACTCTCAAACACACCATTAGGGTTAGTTTGACAAACAGAGCAAAACTGAGCCAAAACCAGTCATGACCCAGTTTTGTGCTAAACTAGTTTTGTTTTGTACCTGGTCGCCTAGTCCAAAACATAACTAGTTTAGTGATACTATTTGGGCACAAAAAATGAGGTAAGATTTAGCCCAGAATTTTGACAATCGAGAAACAACATAAAGTTGGGTCAGGTTCAGTACTAACCCAATTTTATAAAGTTTGACAAATACTCCCTTAGACTACAGCTACATTCAGGATTTCATAGTCGAATATTGTCGCAATTCCACGAGGCCATCGCCCAAGCAAATTCAGGCCACAAAAAAAAAAAAAAAAAATTATATTCCACGAGGCCATCGCCCAAGCAAATTCAGGCCACAAAAAAAAAAAAAAAAATTATAATAGAGTTCAGACTAGAGAGTGTTACAATGACACAGAGGTTGGAACCGCACGGTGCCATGAGAGCAGCACATGAAGGAGGAATTTTATCCCACGATCAAATTAATAAAGCTTGATTTTGGTACTAAATAACTACAGAGATCAATTAATAGAGAATATCCTGATTCAAAAATCACGTGCAGCAGTAAATGCACGTACAGTTTATTTAAAAGACATTCATTGCTCCTCCCCTCGATCCTTTTCAATTTTCTATGATCGCATGGAAGCGCCCACCCACGTCCTCCGCGGTTCCACCACCCGCCACCTCCTCCTCCTCCGTCGGAACCCTAGATTTAGATCCCTGAGATTACCATTACACCCTCGCCGTTTCTCCGTCCCCTCCTCAAAACCCATTAAAAGTTCCGCCGTCCCCCTCTCCTCCTCGACCCACCGGATCGGTCGCCAGCATCTCGATCTAGGGTTAGGGTTTGGGGGACGGAAAGCGGCGGCGGCGAGCTGTACGCGTGGTGGCTTTTGGGGTGGCTGGGGCGGAGGAGAACAACCTGAAGAGGTACGCCGAGCTGTACAGCGGCGGCGGGGGCTCGACCGGTGCGGTCGTCGTGCCGCCGGGAGAGACGTTAGGGTTTGAATTTGGGGAGGAACGGATAGGGGAGGATGCGAGAAGTGGCGCGGGAGCTGCGCTTGGATCGAGGAGGGCGAGAGAGGCGAAAAGGAGCGGCATTTGATCTTTCACACCTTCAGTAACACAGGGTGGCTGGTGTAAGAAATCTTTCAATTTTTCTTTTTTTGTTTTGTTCTTGAATGCGATTATTTTCTTGCAAAAAGTTGAAAGTTTGAGAAGATTACAAAATTAATTGATTGGCAAAGGTTGAATCTTGTTAGAAATGTAACGATAATTGGTAGCTCTACCGACAACTCCAAAAGTAAATAAGGCGCCAAGTGTGCACATAGGGTCCATTTAGTCTCGATTGACTAAGCGGGAAGTCAGTAGCTGGTCTAATTTGAGCTTACCCCCTTTAACAGGTAGCCAAGTATCCTTTTTAGGTCTCTGGCAGATGGTATCGAAGTTATCTTTGTAGTTGTAAGCGATCAGCTTGAGGTTGATGAGGCGGGTAGTGCAGTGTTTGTCCGGAAACTTGTCTAGTGCGAAGCCAAAGGGCTGACGGGGTTTGCAGTGTTCAATCAGAACTAGACTAGTGGGAAGGCCGCTGATGTGGACATTGGAATCGTGGAAGCACGGTGTCGGCGTTAGGGTTCACTTAGTCCTACAATGACTAGAAGGGGAGTTTAATTGTGGAATTATGAGTTATTTGGGCTTCCTTCCTCTATTAGGTACCCATTTAGTGATGAGTTCTTCCGGGTCTCTTACAAGCTTTATGTAAGTATTTGTTAAAGTTAGGAGAAAAAAAAGAGATTATTGGAGAGTTATCCCCTCACTCTATATTTTATTTATAAAGATGGATTAGTTATAAATTAGTCTCACAAGCAATGTGGGACTAAACTAATACTCTCTTCTTCTAACACTCCTCCTCAATCTAGAGCATATATATCATGCATGCCCAGCTTGTCACAAATAAAGTCAACCCGTGTTCGACCAAGTGGTTTTGTAAGAATGTCTGCCAACTGATCTACTGTCGATACATGTTTTGCTGTGATGATGTTATCCTCGAGCTTCTTGCAGACTATATGACAGTCGACTTTAATGTGTTTGGTTCTTTCATGAAACACGGGATTCTCAGCAATGTGAATTGATGCTTTATTCTCGCCATATAGATTCATGGGACATTCTGGAGGGAGACCGGTTTCTGTCAATAGGTCTCTGATCCAAACCATCTCTAGTGTCACATTTGCCATAGCACTGTATTCTGATTCTGCATTGGATCGAGATACAACACTTTGCTTCTTATTTTTTCATGACACTAGATTTCCTCCAAGAAAGACACAATATCCAGGAGTTGATCTCCTATCAAAAGGACATCCAGCCTAATCTGCACTTGAGAAGCCTGTAACTCTGGTGTGTCCTTGATCTGAGTAGAGAATTCCTCGTCCTGGAGCCTTCTTCAAGTACCTTAAAATTCTCATTATTGCATCCAAGTGAGTAGTTCTTGGTACGGACAAGAACTGACTCACAACACTGACTGCGAATGTGATGTCAAGTCTGGTCACCGTCAGATAATTCAGTTTCTCCACTAATCTTCTAGTCTAATATCTTCAAGAAGCTCCTCTTGATTTGGTAGTAGTTTTGAGTTCACATCTAGTGGAGAATCACTGTTTCTGCATCCTAACATCCCAGTTTTTGAAAGTATATTCAGGACGTACTTTTTTTGTGACAGAAGAAATGAAGAATACCCTTCGTTGACTTTGCGACTTCAATGCATAGGAAGTATTTTAGAGAACCAAGATCTTTGGTTTGGAAATGTATCTGTAAAAGCTTCTTCAGGTTGTCAATACCAGAAGCATCATCCCTTATAATTACAATGTCATCCACATAGACAACAAGCAGAATTCATTTCCCATTCTGAAATCGGCAGAAGTCAGTGATTTTTTTGTGCACGACAGAGCTCAAATTCCTGAATAATCGATGCAAAACGTCCAAATCAGGCTCTCAGAGATTGCTTCAGACCATAAAATAATTTCTTCAGCCTACACACGTTCGCATTCTTCCCCTAAGCAACAAAATATGGTGGTTGCTCCATGTAAATCTCCTCGTCTAGAATACCATTAAAAATGTATTATTGATGTCCAACTGATGAAGTGACCAGTGATTTATCGCTGTTAATGAGATAAAAATCCGAACAGATATTATTTTTGTCACTGGAGAGAAGATATCTAAGTAATCTAAGTCATACACCTGCGAATAGCCTTTAGCAACCATTCATGCTTTCAGGCGTGCCAAAGTTCCATCATGATAAAATTTGACAGTATACACCCACTTGCAGCCGACAGACCGCTTTCCTGCTGGAAGTGAGACTAAATCCTAAGTCTCATTCTTTCGCAAGATCCTCATTTCGTCTTGCATCGCTTGGTTCCAACCTGGAATTGACAGGACTTCTGACACATTCTTGGGAACCAAATATGAGTCGAGGGAAGTAACAAAAGATCGAAAGGTGGAGGAGAGACGATCATAAGCGACAAAGTTAGAAATAGGATGTTGAGTATAAGTTTGTGTCCCTTTTCGAAGTACAATAAGAATGTCTTCCGTAGAAGAGGGTAAATTTGCACTTACTGATTCTGGTTCTTCTGGCGGAGGACGTGGTGTTGAGGCCGACGCTGGCTTAGGAGCAGGAGCAGAGCGATGATGATAAACTTGAATTGAGTCGTTAAACCGAGCGAAATCTTTGCTAGTAGCGCAAATAGTATTGTCGGTGGATGAACCACCACCGTTAACCAATGACTCTTATAGGATTAAATAGTCATACTCATCCGATGATAATGAAGTTGGAGAACTAGAATAACCAGGTTTGTCTTTAAAGAATGTTACATCAGCAGATAACACTAGACGATTGAGTGATGGACATAAACACTTGTAACTTTTATATTTTCGGGAATAGCCAAGAAAAATATCTTTAATAGACCGAGAGTTAAACTTTTGTTTGTTTGGACTGTGATTATGAACAAAGCACAGAGAACCAAAAATCTTTAGAGGAAGCGAAAAGAGATCATCGTTAGGGTATAGAACTTTAAAAGGAAATTTATCTTGCAGAACAGAAGAGGACATTCGATTAATCAAATAACATGTTAGGATAACTTCCCCCCAAAACTCTTTGGGAATTTTGAAATAGCAAGGTTCGAGCAAAATCAAGGAGATGTCTATTTTTTCGTTCAACAACTCCATTTTGTTGAGCAGCATAAACACAAGAAGACTGATGGAGAACTTCATGTTGTTTAAGGAAACTAGTGAACTTGTCATCCAAATATTTCTTCGCATCATCAGATCGTAATTTTTTTATCGAAGTCTTGAATTGATTGACTATTTCAGAATAAAAGAGTTTAAATGTAGAAAAGACTTCAGACCTAGACTTAAAAAGATAAATTCAAGTAACACGAGAGTGATCATTCACAAAACTGACAAAGTACCAGAATCCCAATTTAGAAGTTATTAGGCATGACCCCCAGATATCAGAACGAACAAGATCAAATGGCTTTGCAGCCCTTTTATTGACTCGATTAGGATAAAATACATGATGATGTTTACTAAGTTGACATGACTCACACTCTAAAAAGGAAAAAGATTTGAGCTGGGGATTTAGAAGCTTGAGAACAGAGAGAGAGGGATGCCCTAGCTGACAATGGTATTATAGAGCTGATGAGTTTTCAATACAAGCTAAATGTTTGGCGCCCAAGTCCAGTTTATAATGACCGTTCTGCTCATGCCTTTTCCTAATTGTTTTTCTCGTGACCAGATCCTGAAAGATAATGTTTGGGGAAGAATGTCACAGTACAGTTTAGTTATTTTGTAATTTTACTAACAGATAAAAGGTTATAGGAAAAACTAAAAAGATAGAATACGGAGGAAAGAAAGAAACTAGGTGTAGGATTGATGTTACCGACACTCTGAACATGTGTACGTGAACCATCAGCTAATATAACTAAATTAGATGTAGGAGAGAAAGATGACAGGATACCTTGATTCATAGTCATATGATCAGTGACACCTGTATCTATAATCCAAGTATGAGACGAAGACGATGTAAGTAAAGATAAAGAGGTACCTGCACTTTTGAGAGTAGTGGATAAAGAAGAGGATGATGGTTGTGAACTTTGGTATTGCTGGAATAATTAAAATTGCTGAAATGGACGATGCAGCTCCGCATCCTGAAAGACTGACTGTAGTTGACTTTCACTATCAGATAAGGTGAAGTTGTACTGAGCGACCATGTAAGCAACATTGGCCTTCTTCTTTTCTAATTCGGGATAATTATATTTGAGATGTCCTGATTGGTGACAATAGTTACAAGTCTTCACTGAGTCATCTTCATTAGTATGTTTGCCTTGAGATGGACCTCCACGGCCACGTCGTTGACCACCTCGACCCTCAAAACGATCAGTGTGATAACCTCCTCTCCCTTTAAAGTTGTCTTTACCTCTTTCAGGACCACTAGTATGACCCCATCGTCCATAAGACTGCCAACTCTGAGTGGCAAACGCAGAGCGATCCACGATGGATGTAAGTGGTTGTGCAGGGACAACGTTCTTTAAAAAGTGATAAGTCTCAATCAGAGAACCAATGGTGGAACTCCCCATGATTTGTGATCGAGCAGATGAGTAAATGGAATTTAGGGTACCCAAGTAGGTGAGTACCATCAGTTTGTTCTATTGATTTTGTATCTGTTTTACATCCCCAGTAATAGGAAAAATCTGACAAAGTTTCTCAGCCAGACGATTAAACTCATCATAATGATCATCCATGGGTTTACCATCTTGTTTCTTACGAAACAGCACTTGAATAACTTCATATGCTCGATTAATGTTACTGCTACCCCTATAGAGATCTTGTAAGAAATACCAAAGTTTCTTCACTGTACAATGAAGGACTAAATCCTGAATATTAGGCTTCATAGTGTTAATAATCTGATGTAAGAAGACACTATATCTAATGTCCAAGATTCCAGTGTCAGAGTAGGAGGGTCCGTCAACAAATGATCAGTTTTGCCTCGGCCTGTCACATAGATTTCAATAACACGTTTCTACTGGAAATAATTAATTCCATCAAGTTTCCGGTCAGTGATTCTACTAAAAAATATCACTGAAACTTTTTGGACTGTTCACTCAGAATTCTTGAGTTCCTCAGATCCGGTCATTATAAAACAAATGAGTAGAGATCAAGACGATACCCTCCACAAGTTGAACAAGTCCAAGAACCCAAAGGTTAACAATGCAAGAACCCGAAGGTTATCATACAAGAACCCGAAGGTTAAAATGCAAGAGTCCGAAGGTTAACATGAAACTCGAATGTTAAAATTTAAGAACCCCGAATAATTTTTTTTTATTTTGAGAGAAAAATTCGCAGATCTAAGTCAGATTAGAAAACAAAGGGTCATGGCAGCAACAACGATCATCGACGGCAGGCGAAGTTGTCAAGGAAGATCGGATCGGTGAAGTGGATCTGGATCTGGATCTGGAGTTTCCTCCATGAACCACTGATTCAACGATCTGAGTCGGATGTGAAGGAGGTTTGACGTTGATGTTTCGATTGTGGAAACAAGAATTGAAGTGAATATCTTAGCAATGTAAGATAAACACTCTTATCAAGATCAAATCTAAGTTTAAACACGAGGAAACACCGAGCAACGTAAGATATCTAAGTTGTCAAGGAAGCAAGTGACAACGAACAAAGCAAGTGGCGGTGGTGGCAGACGAAGCATGCAGCGAAGGATTTGATCTTTAGTGGCTAGGGTTTCGAGAGAGAGGAGAGGAGGCGGAGAGAGGAGAGGAGGCGGCTAGAAGAGAGAGAAGAGGAGGCGACTAGGGTTTCGAGAGAGAGAGAGAGGAGAGGAGGCGGCTAGGGTTTCGAGAGAGGAGAGGCGGCAATTAGGGTTTAGGAATTAGGGTTAGGGTTAGAAATTAGGGTCAGGGTTTAGGAGGTTCTGATACCATGTTAAAGTTTAGAGAGAAAAAAGATTATTGGAGAGTTATCCCTTCACTTTATACTTTATTTATAGAGATGGATTAGTTACAAATTAGTCTCACAAGCAATGTGGGTCTAAACTAATACTCTTATGAAGCCTAAAAAGCTCAGCCTTTAGCTTTTTTCTCTCTTAGCTGTTAAATGTCATGCATCAAGCCCGCAAGCCCTGTAAGCCCTAGAACCCACTGAGTGCTACACGTGGTTTGACTCAATCCATTACTAAAATTAACTAGTCAAATTTACACTTGACTTTCAAGACCCATCGTTTAAACCATTCAATCACTCAATCAATATCCGATATGGGTTAAATCTTAGGGTCTCACAATCACCCCATATTAATTACATGACGTCTTCATCACGACATTGACAATTGGTTCATCCCAACATCACTACTAGGCAATATGGACTCTAGAGGTGGCTCCTACGGGCTTCTAGAGGTGGTTCTCACCACATTTACGTGGTGTAGTACTTAGTCTCGCATAGCACTTAGCTTTACATTTCCGACTAGCTAACTGCTTTGATATCATTTGTCACGCCCCATATCTGCTAGCCTGTTGGCGCAATGTAAGCTCTGTGACCCACTAAGTGCAACACGTGATTTGGCTCAACCCACTACCAAAATTGACTAGTCAATGTTACACTTGGCTCTCAAGACCCATCATTTAAACCATTCAATTACTCAATTAATATCCAATGTGGGACTAAATCTTGGGATATCACAATAAAGCCTAATAATTATACCTTTCACATACTGATAGACGTCAAATGATCTGTTTTAGGACTTGAATAGTGGATGACGGTTGGTTATGTAGTTTATTCTACTAGTTGTTTTGTACAGATAACTAGAATAAGTTCTTTGATGTTCTTAGGAACTTCCCATCCTTCTTTTTAAGCAGGATTTTACCTTCCAACAACTGCATATATTTTCTTGACTCTTGAAAGATATATTTGCATCTTTAACTGTCATTATGATAAGATTTACTTCCTTTGCAGTTACGGCGTCCTACTTCAGAACTTCAAAACAAGGAATGGTATCATTGAGAAGATCAAAGGTTGTGTTATTGATTCCGCACCTTCTGCCAAGATAAGCCCTCAGGTTTGTTTTATTACATCTCCTTGTTTGCAATTTCTGTATTATTGAAAGTGCAGTATACTGGTTATGGTAATTATTAGTCTTTAAAAATGAAAATTTAGTTTGTAGGCTTTATAATTGTTTGCTAATCCAATTTGATATTTTTATAAAGTTGAACTTTCCCATTGATGAAAATAAACCAAACATTATAGGTCTCTGGAAACAAAGACAGCAATTATTATATGAACTTCTACTTTCTTTTCTCGTTCTTTTCACAAAAAGGAGTTTTCAAATTTTAGAAGTTCTTACAGGAAGAGTTATCTATTACCTAGATGCTTGAAGGAGAGGGGGTTAATGAGAAGGAAGATCCATACTTTGCTTTTTAATTACCAAACTGAATTGTCTAATACTCCACTCAATGTATAATCATGTAGATTATAAATGTCAAATGAAGCTACACTGCTACAGAACTTGAAAATGATACAAGTACTTAATGAATAAAAGGGAGTAAAAATGGATAGCAATCCACAGAACGTAGGCCTGTTGAACCTTTGAAATATTAGAATCATGAACCATTTGTATCTGTTTGGATTAAAAAAAGTTTAGAATCTGTTTGGTCTTTACCCTTCTTTCTTTTCCCAATATAGTTTAGTGTGATTAAAGCCGTCTTCAACACCAATCTGTAGTGTTTCAGCCTTCAGTCATTCTAGACTAGAAGTCGCTACTTTTCAAGTTCAATGCGTTTATGCTTTTTATTTAGGAACTTATTCATTAGTATATACTCTTGAACACCTTTGTTCACAGGTCTGGGCTGCAGGTTATTGTGTTGCTTTACTGAAGAAGCGCAGCCCTTCTTTAGCTGAACCTGTCAAGGGTCGCAAGCTTGACGGAAGAAGCAGTAAACTATATTCACAAGATGTAATACCAAGAATTATTGAAACCATCATCTTGAAGGTTTTGGAAATCTTCTTCTCCATGGTGCTTATGCTGCCATATGCAAATCAGTAAGTCTTAGATATTTCTCTCTGCTTAATCATTAAAATAAAATAAAAGGAAAGAAACTTGTCTTCTTTGAAAGACAGCATAATTGTTGGGGCTCGGTCCTTGTCATTTGAGAAGTACTTCAACTTTCTGTGAAATATGATACATGTTGCAACATTCTTTAATAGGAGGTTGAGCAGGATCATCTCCACTCTAAAAGATCAGCCACCCTGCCCACAGCTTTATCTTTATAGTACAGCTGATAAGGTAATTCCAGCCTGTGGAGTGGAATGTTTCATTAAGGAACAAAAGGCTTTGGGAAGAAATGTACATGCTCATAATTTTGGTCCATCACCACATGTAGACCATTTCAGGAGCTTTCCCCATATATATTCTGCAAAAGTAAATGAGTTTCTAAAGCACTGCGGCTCTCCAATTGTTCCAAAACATAACCTTCTTTTGGACTGCATGCCATAATGCCTTGCTAAAGTTGCACATTGTTTGAGGCGCTTGGCACAAAATTATAAGCAGAGTCCGTGTTGGACAGGACAGGTAATTATCAAATCTGTTATAGCTAGAAATTGTTTCTATTGTGTACTACTTTCTTATTATTATTAAACATTCTGTCCTCTCAGTGCATACATTATATTATTATGTATAGGCGATGAATCTGGAGTCAGAAGTTCTTCAGATTCTCGATTGAAAGTTATACAATAACTTAAAGCTTATAAATTGCAATGAAATAAGCTTTCTGAAATTGTGTCATTCAAATCCTGGCGGGTTAGGTATTTTTTTCCCCTCTTTTTATTTTATTATATTTTATTGACTGTTAACTGCAAGAAACTAGACACAATCAGGCCCTTGAACCCCAATATTAGATCTAAACTCAATATTATGCGATCTTAGTTTTAGTTGTTGGGTATTTGTCAAATGCATAAAAATATCACTCATCGATGGAGGCCCTCCTTAGCCTCTCTCTTCTGGTCTAACCAACTTGTTACATGTTGATGGGTAGCACCCTACTCATGATATTCTGGGAGGTATTAACTGTTGCTTTCTACTCATTCTTCTATTTCTCTTTTTTGTCTTGTATATATTTTTTTATTCCCAACCAATCAAAGGCCTTGTCATGATGCTCTATGTATCACACATAACCTTAAACAGACATTTAAGAGTTATAGCCCTTTGATTTTTTTTGTATTTTACTGTTTTAGTCATATGACTCATTCTTATATCCACCTTTAAAGTATTGCCCTGAGTATCCAGTTGAATTATTATTCTAGTTTTTGAGTAGTATTAGTTTTGTTCAGACAACGTTGGTAGTCTTTCCAGAGCTACAAAAATTTTGCACCTTCAACCGTAAGTAATGCACGTAATTTGTATCTGAGTATGCAGTAATCAGAGATCAGAATGGTGGTAGCATTTAATTTTTCAAATAGAATATTAATGGAATGCTTTGATATTTAGTACAAGTGTCTTAGTGTCTAGTTATAGGGCTAATGTAGAAATCTCGTTTGTAGGAGTTGCTATAGATGACCTAAATTTTGTTGCTTGTGAATTTGCTCACCACACGCCTACCTAAACAATTAGTTCACTACTCTTATCACGACTAATGAGTATGAATTTGTGCATGAATTCAAAGCCTATAAACAATGATCATTTTGTTTGACAAGATCAAAGAAATGGATCTGAGTATTTAAGAGGGTATTAAAAAACATAACATCGGTATTAGGGGCATGAGTGGAGAAGGTTTGATTTGTCATACAACCACCATATGTCTTCATGTAACTTAGACCCCCATATATCTTCATGTAACTTAGACTTTGCAAATTGAGATTTACCTTCTCTATTGTATAGTCCAGCTTGTTTTGTTTCAGTCTTGCATGAGATAGGCAACTCATGTTAGATTTGTATCATTTGTTCAAATTTTGATATTGCACATGTCCATTTGCTATCTAAGTCGGCTATAATTAGATGCCAAATTTGGCAGACAATCAGATACTCTGTCAAAATGTAGAAGCTTTAGTTGTGATATTGTCCTAACATTATGTAAGATCTCATTGCCCTGACATTATTTGATTAAGGGTAAATTGCAGATAACTGCTCTCATCTATATCTTCAGTTGCACTTATCACCCCTCAACTATTTTACGGGCACTTAATGCCCCTGGATTCACATTTTTAGGACCCTTCTCTCCTATGAACCTAGGGGTGTTAAGTGCTAAGTGCTACTGACGGTATAGATAAGGGGCTTATCTACAATTTACCCCATGGATTGATTGGATCTCTCTCATTGTTATTTACATGTGGTAAATTCAAGTCATGTTAAATGCGAACGTAGGTTATTTTGGGAGGATATCTTGTGTTGGATTCTGTTAAACTTGACTGAAATATTGTTACCAAAGTGCATTGACTAATATTGTACACCATTTAATTAATTAATTTGTTTTTTTGCAGCTAAACTTTCTCAGTGTGATCATGGGGAATCCCTCAAGAGATATTAAGTTCCGAAAACCTTTACAGTTGATGCTGCTTAGAGCAGTCTAACAGTTGGTGATTATCCTGTTCATCGAGCAGTTCAAATTTTGGATTTGCCTATTGTTTTCTGCTCACCTTGTGTACTTATATAACATGGGGAATTATTTGCTGAACGACTAATTGTAACAATAGTGCTACGTCACACTACTACTTATTGGGAATTGCTTAACAAATGAGTCTGTATTAGTTGGAAATTAATCTGAAACTAAACATGGTTCCCTATGGAATTGTGATCTGGGGATGATCATGAGACAGCTGAAATCTAGGACAAACAATTTTTTGTTTGATTTTAGCTGTTTCTGGAAAATTATGAAGATATGATCATCTGTTTACTAAATTATTGCAGTTTATTATACAAGTTGGTATGTAATTTACATCATTTACTAGCTAGTGATTCTGAGCAACTTTTATTGCAATACGTGAGGAACTATCTAGTAGCCCCTGTCTATTCTTGTATCACTGTAAATTCTTGCACCAATGTAAAATTTGTGTGCTGACCCGATGGGGTACTCTTTTCTAGGTGCATATTACTAGATAGTTTTCTGTAATATTCTCCTCTTAAAACACCAGTTGACAGTATCATGAATCACAGTTAAAAAAAAGGAGAAAATCATGTAAATAACAATTGCTTATATCTTTTGAAGATCATAATCATCACTTTAAACATGAACACAAGATTATTCCAGTGGCTAAACAACATTTAGCTATGCCCATAAAAACATCAGATCCAACTAAATTGCCTTATTTTGGAAATAGAAAATCAAAATGATATCTTATGCTTTGCTTGATGCATGCAATCCTACTTCTCTTTCCACTCGCAACAAATCTTAGGTTCCTCAAACTTCGGCATTTNAGTAGTTATTGGAGGCACCTTTGACAATACCCTGGCCACCATTTGTGCCTCAAGGTTTTTTTTTCTCGTCCATTCATTATAATATCTGAATATTTGACAACTGTTTTCATCTTTTTCGACGTTGAAACGCGTCAGTCATTGGTACAGGCATCAGCAGATTTGGCTAGAAAGCGAATGATCTTCGGACCCTGTAAGCAGGTTCTTCCTCTTTCTCAGTCCAATTTATCATAAATAGAAGATGGGAGTTGCACCAAGAAGAATCTGATACAATTTCACACCAAAAACTGCTGGCAAATACAAATGGCTTAAAATAAGGTATACGTTGCTTATGTTCTAATTCAAACTGAAGCGTGTACCGACGGTACATACGTTAGAACTACATGGTATTGTGAACATATTTGTTGTTCCACCACATACTTCTAATAAAACCAGGCACTTTGGTGTGTTTGGTTTTGCTTCTCACGTCTATTCTTCACCTTGCAGTATGCTCACCTCATACAGCCCATAGAGAAGAGAGCGTAAAGCATACAAGACTACCTTAAGGTGCTCTGCATTGGTAAATTTCTCGAAATTCACGAGTTTGAGTGCTGATAAAACTATGCAATACATACATTCTACACGAATATCTGAAACAACACGACTCCACAATAAAAAGTATCACATATAGTTTATGCATGCTGAAGAAAAAAATTATTCCTCATTATGTAGTCCATAAAGCCAGAAGCTAGTTGCGATCGATCACTGAACCAATTATTGATCCTTACGCCTCTTCAATTGTGGATTAAAATCCATAGGCAATTGTTGTCAGGTCTCAATCTCTTCTCCCTTCCTAAGGAAATTTATGATCCTAGTTACTTGGTTATTGAGCTTTAAAATGTTTTCTTCTCCGTTCAGCAAGGAGACCCTCCCTGGAGGCCTGGCCATCAATAGGACAAGAGCTGAGAGAGGTTTATCCCAACTAAAGGTTAAGCTTAGATGCAAACTTTTTGCTATTTGATTAAGGATTAGTTCTACATACATCTCTTGCGCTACAAGCGGCTAGTCTCCTATTGTTAGTAAGCCTTTGTTACTAGAAATTTGACCCATCTCCCGTTATTTTGTACTCACATTGCTGTCGCTTGACATCGACATCAATGTGTCGCAGAGAGACTTCTATTCTCTTACTGGTGGTGAACATACATCTCTATATTACATCTTATGTATTACGGAAAAATAATTCTCTACAGACATCAGAAGTTCTTACTTCTAATTAAAAATTTAGTGATAACAAGTCACTACCTCCCTACAATTCATGGTAATACAAAGCGTACTGCAGTTAAGCTCTTTGATGAGTTTCTCCAAGGTTTCATATTAATCTCTTTTGTTACCGAAATCATGCAGATTGAAGTCGTGGATTTAGTACCAAACAAGTAAGGGGATACAGTATGTTCTACAACCTATAGAAAAATGAAAGCTGAGGAAAGACTGAAGAATCAGGTACATTCATTCAGTTATATCAAGCTCTGCAAATCTATTTCGGTTCATCTTCTCATGAAATTTTCAGGTTAGAATTTATCGATAAAGGATATTAAATTTGACTACAAACTTTATACGTAATAATCTGGTTTTACTCTTCCCAGTATATTACTATTAAACTAAACAACACTCATCACCTGAAATCTTACCCCATATTGGCTCATACTAGATTTTCATGAATGTAGACGCTCAGATTTTCCTCTATATTGGCATCAAATATCAGCTCGTATTAATTTCTTTTTCCTTTCCTTTTTAGGGAAAACTTATATTTAGCTATTTGAGAATATAAAAATTTAGCTTTATATTGACCTTAAAATTGACTTACAAATACACATGAACTTGTAGTCATTCGTAAATATGGATCTAAAATCTCCATGTTATGCACAATATCAATCATCATATTGCCATGCATACGCTGGTTCTTCCCAAATGTGGACCTAAATCTCCCCCTCAATATCAACTTAGTTATTTACGAATATATAAAAAATACAGATAATAACTTCATACTTATATATTACATCTCTTTCTATATGTTACATCTCTTTCTAAGATTAATATATGTTTGAGGTCCGACACGGAACCCATATATGACATCTCTCACTCTCTGATACACCAAAACAGTAATATTTACACAGGCTACACCAACCTTAGTAGACTCAATACTAAGTATCACATTATCATGATCCTTACCTAGTTTGTACGTCAAGAGCTTAGGTTGCAACATGAAACTGTGCCGCATATTTCTGAGTACCTTCCTTGCTTCTTGTCCACCTGCAGAGTTAATTACTTGTAATTATGATATTTTTCCAATAAGATTTCTGAGTACCTTCGGTAGCCATTACTGGGGGTTCGTTCAGAAATGCCCACTTGCTTCTTGTCCACCTGCAGAGTTAATTACTTGTAATTATGATATTTTTCCAATAAGATATGAGAATTCATATTTTTTAACCTAAAATTACATCCCATAATAATGTCTTACATATGGAAGTTGCGTAGTCTGGTTGCGTTTAGAGCCCATAATTTATTTGTTTATTTTCTATCATCAGCGCAATGTTTTGTCATTTTTAGTTTTTGCAGTTATTTCATTTTCCTATATCAATCAATTCATATCATTTTTAAAATTTCATGTTCAAATATATTTTCAAATCGCAGTCCATATAATCAATAGGAAGAAGAAACAATCGTATAGTTGCTTCTGAAATTTAACACATAACAAACTTGTGTGTTTCCGTTTGCATCATAAACCCTGAAATTTCATGTAAAATTAATCCACTTACTTCAATAGAATCATGAGTTTATTTAATTAAATCAGTTTTTTTTTTTTTTTTTTTTTTGGGGGGGGGGGGGGGGGG